CCAGGATCCAGTAGGATCCACCAGGATCCACAGGATCCACCAGGATCCAGTAGGATCCACCAGGATCCACAGGATCCACCAGGATCCACAGGATCCACCAGGATCCACAGGATCCACCAGGATCCGAGGATCCAGGATCCGCTTTTTCCCCCTTGCTTCGATTAGTCAACTTAAATCTAATAAATAATAAGTAGGATAAGATGCTTTGCTTAATCTCATTGATTTATCTTGCCTATATTTAATGAGCAGTCTGGTAAAACTATTTCGTATTAAACAATAGTATTTTTTGTTATATCTTATTTTTCAAAATAGATCGACGTGTGTCTTGTTTAACATTAATTGATCATCATCGACATGGATATAAATTGTCATTGATTCACTTTTCATATGTGTTTCACTACTAAGCAATAGACACAGACGACAATCGTATGTTAAGTAAATTGTCGATTTTGAATTTGATGTTACTAGTGTTAATTATTTGGTTATTGTTGATAAATTAGCAATAACAATATCAAGAACGAGTGTATATTCGTAACGAGATACGTTTAGTTTTAGCATAGTGCTGTTTTTGACCGATTAGTTCTTTCGATTGTTTTGAAATATTTACATTGATTATGAACACAACACTCAGATCTATAAAAGCAACGAAGTTTTTTTTTTCGAAGAAAATACGAATATTTGATGACAAATAAAGCGAAACCAGAAACAATACGATGAATAACATGAAAGTTATCTTGCCAAGGGAACAATGCGTTGTAATCGTCGCCATCGTAATATTCGATTCATCACCACACGACGAAAACGAGGGTAGCAAAACATCAAAAGATAGAATCGTCCCTAAAACGTATGACAAAAGAAAATGGTCGCTACAATTCATAAAAAACTTACTCCATAAGCTACTGAACCAAAAAGAAAAGTGACATTGGAGGCCAAGGCTTCCTTGACTTCTTGATTAGCATTTTTTTTGACATATCTTGTAATAATAGAATAAGCACTAAAAATATCGTACGGACTTAGAAATATTAGGACAAGCAAGACTTGTATGAAAACTATAATTGTCATTTGTCGATCAATACGAAGACGCGAGAGAACAGTTGTCTTTTTTATATTTCTATATGTTAAAATTGCAAATACCATCATAATTAAAATATGAATAACACCAAGTGTAATACAGAAGAAAAATACGGCATAGGCGTAAAATGCATCACTGCGATATATACAAACGCCTGTAATTGGTGACATGTCCTGATAAAATAACCAAAGGATACCATGAACCCACCAAATGATAATAACACACAAAGAAGCTCGATGTGCATTTTTAATCCTGCTCCATTGACGAAGTCGAACATGTTGAGATGTAATGAGAAACTGATCAATCGTCGCCAAACATGTACAAGTCAAAGGAATAGCGCTAAAACTTGACGTGAAAAAAAATCGAAGTTTGCACCAAACAACAGAAAGACGTTTCATGTCAATGTTCAGACACGCAGCAACAACAAGCGGACCAATCGTAGCGATAAACTGACCACATTCATGTATTGCAGCAATTATAAAATAGAATGTACACGGAGTCTTTCGATAATAAGGTACCGTCATTAGAATGAGCACTTGCATAACACTGCCGATCAGTCCCACAATCAAGATAAACATACCGACATAGATCATAATTAGTCGATGAATAACGACTAATGACGTCATAGCTTATTCTGATAATAGACACTTCTGTAATCGAAAATTACTTTAAAATGGTTATAAATCATTATAAGTATCTTATTCATATCCAACTAAATCGGACTTCCTTTGTTTACACGATATTTCTCGCCTAAAAATGATTTTTCTATACTTATTTTATATATTTATTTATTATTCTATGAAAAATTACGTCAGAGTGCATTGCAAGATAGTGCGCTTAATGTTGAATAACTATTATCGAAGTGAATGAAAGTAAGAATAAGTTTGATATCTTGAAGAACTCTCGAAAAATAGTGTTCTATTTATAATAGTCCTCTTTTATATGATATTAATAAAAGCTTAGTTGAAAAGTGAATTCGTGATGTGCTATATCTTGACGTACCCTTCCAAACAAAAAAAGTACTTGGTTATAATGAAGCATCTTCAACAAATTTTAGAAGCGCGTTTAAAAAAGAAAAGTAGAGGAACATAAAAAAAGGATGTTTAGGAATAAAAAGAAAACCATGTCATGAATGAAATATTAGGTTAAATGCTATCCTACCAGGTACTCATCTTAATTTTGATAATGGAGATGACAGATGAGTTTTTAGCTTACTGAGATCTATGTGTAGATGTACACTTTTTCACGCAATATAATATCGGTAATTTTTCAAAAGTTTGAAAAAAGTATAGAGCTAATTTGGTGATAACAATGAAATAAAAATGATTAGTCAAATCGTAAATGCGAACATGGAAAACATTGATCTGTCGTTGGACTATGTCGCGTTCTTTACTCAAGCAAATACCGTCCGATCATTCATAGAGAACGATGATAATGAAATTTCCATACAAGACTTCTAGAGAAAAAGAAACCGTGTTGATAAAATATGAAAAACAACTGAATAAAATAATAGTTCTATAGCAGAATTTTTGTTATGTTAAGTACTTCAGAAAATAAGAGGTACTACTATCATAAGAAATGCATGCAAGTAAAGACTGAGAGACAAAGAATATTTTAATTGACGACATACAAACTTCGTAGCATTTTAAATTTATTCTAACTTGAAGATTAATGCTTCACGAGCAGAAAAATCATGAAAAGAAGAAGAAAGGAACAGCATTAGTATGCTCCATGTAAAAATTGATGAAAATTTAATGATTTAATGAAAGAACGAGAGATGACTTTTTTTAACCATGAAAATACATTAAAAAGTTGATTTTAATGTATTTTTATGGTCGAAAAGGTAACTTTTCTCTTTCATTAAATCGGTTTATTTATTATAAAGTTTTTCAATGGGATCTACTATGCATCCAAAAGAAATAGGCGAAAATCCTAGATAAAATAACGAGTGAAAATGATGAAATGAAGCATGATACATAAACTAAAACTATTTAGTTAATTAGTCAAATAAACTCGTATACTCTAAGAACGATGAAGATCAAAACATTTAGTAACAAAGAGACTGAATTGAAAGACAAAAGAAACATGGGAAGAAGAAAGAGAAAAGTAGAAATGAGAGAAAATGCACAGCAGTGAAGCGTTTTCTCAGTTGCATGACTTCTTTCATTTATCATCAAAAGTCTTATATCCAAGTGAAGCTCAAAATATTAATTTCGTCTTGAAAGATTATTAGATATGTTTCCATAGTAACAGTCGCGTATCAGCTATAAAAAATTGTTATAATTTTAATTTATTTCTTCATTGTACGTGCTACACTCGCTTGTAATATTATCGAATGTATTGTATTGATGATGTATGCTCCAGAGATCATCTGAGTGGTGAACACACTAGTCTACTACCACTGATCATTTCTTCTTCTCTGTGCTTGCTCTCTATATTGCTGTACTATTCATTTCAGCTGATTGTTCACAAGACTTTGTTGTGCATGCCTTTGGTCAATATTCTTTTCTGCCAGTTATTGATCTAAAGTTTCTTTAAATTACCAATAATCCTGCTTCATTATCTCTTTTTTAAGAAGTAACGAAGTCATTGTGCGTCTACAAAATACGAACTCAATATGCTTTTCTTAATTCGTTCAGTATCCCTTTTATAGTTTATATTTTTTTGACATATATCTCTCTTAGTTCAACACGAATAATGGTTTTCAGACACTACATACAGAAAGTATTGAGCCTTCTCCCTTCAAGCGTTGTCATTGTTCTAATCTCAAATACATAAAGAAGTATTTATAAGGCATAGGTTCGAAAGATGTTAGACTTAGCCTCTGTCGGGACAGTTTTTTTGACCAAATTAGCTTTCGAAGAATATACAATTCCATCGATGATTTTATGATTCTTGCTTCTTGTTACTAATCTCTTGGCAAAGTACTGTCTCAGTATGTGAACTTGTTAATTTTTTTCATATTGATCGTTTCGAAATTATGAAATCAAAGGTAGCATAATCGAACTCCTATTCAGTCTTCATCGATATGTTTCATTTCACTTTTAATTATTTGATCAACAATACTACTATTTGTTTTTAATACTCATTATTAGAGCTAGTCCTTTTTCTACTTTTTAAGAGAGCTACTACAAATATTTCGAGATCTTAGTGTTTATCATACAACGTTATGGCATTAGAGATAACAAGCATCCTCGACACAAATTGATTTTGTTCTTGAATTTATCAGTTACTGTTCCTTAAAATCTAACTGTGACCCTTCTATTATTGAAATGAAGTTTTATCAGTCGAACAACGTTCTCATTCTATCTATAACTTTAGCATACCCAGTAGATTACTTCGTGATTCACTGTTTCTTAATTTACATCTGTTCGTTTTTGAGTGTTGGATTATTGTTTTTTCGGTACTACTTTGCTCCTTCAACATTGGATAGTCGAATTTGATTCAATATCTTTTAATAAAAGTTTAATCGCAGATTCAACATTCTATAGAAATATTCTTTTCACTTTTTCAACTTATTCATGGAAGTAGTTCACAGATTTTCGTCTTTGTTCTATATAATTATATTTTCCATGAGAATTTTCAGATCGTTAAGTTTTGATGTCATGGCCTACAATGTTTGTGTATCATTCATGCTGAATAATTTCACTCTAATATTGGATCAACTTTGTAAGAAAAGTTCAATGATTGGATCATCGTGAACACTCATCAAGTGACTTGTTGAGCAAGTCACAATTGAGTTTCAGTTACTTCAAATCATAAACTAAAATAAATGAAATCATGTCTTTTCTCTTTTGAAATTTTGGGGTTAGCAGGAAATTTTTATTTTGCTACAACTTTATCTTGATTACAAAAATATATACAAAATTAATAAACAGATCAGTCGTCACTCGTCAGTTTCAAAATATTTCTTATCATTTCCTACACTTTAGTCACCACCACAACCTCCTCCACATCCGCCGCCGCAACTCGATGCACCTCCACCACAACTTGATGCACCTCCACCACCACAACTTGATACACCTCCACCACCACAATTCGACGTACCTCCACCATCACCATTTGATCCATCTCCATTCCCACCGCTCGAGTCGCCTACATCTCCACCATTGGATTCAAATCCACTTTCGATCCCTACGAAACTGTCATTGAAAATAGACGCAAGAACCGTATGAGTAAAACTAGTATCTCGCGATGGTATTACAGTTGTTTTTCCAACGTCATCTATTATACTTGAATTATATGCCTTCTTCCATCGATCAGCTGTTTTTTGAAAGGCATCTGTTAAAACACTTGCTTCAATCGAATCATTATGATCAAGGACAAAACCGCATACAGCTATTGAACATGCTCGATAGTGCATTGGATATCTTAGATGTGTATGCCATATCAAATCAATATTAAATGTTGGTACAATAATATCATTTTGCTGAGCTAATTTCATAAATAAAACATACTTTTGTACCAATTTCACAAATAATGATCTATTCATCTTTTCTAAATTGCATGTGTAAAAAATATGTTTCTTGAACTTATTAAGAAAATCACGTTGACGAAGCACTGCTTGAACTAAATCGATTGAAGGAACAAAATTCACATGACTGTTTGTTGATGAATTCGAAGTAGTTGTATCATATTCATTGTTATAATTTGTTGGAAATGTTTGAACCTTTTGATCTACAGGCTCACCGTCTACAAGCTGTTTACAACAATCATCGTAATAAGCAAGTGGGTGAAGACGATGTACATGCCAAATCCAATCAATTTGCCATGAAAGCTTCAATTGTTGATGTTTGAATTTCATTTGTTGCCGTGCCATTTTTTCACAATATTGTTTAATGAATTTCTCTAATATATCTCCTTCTTGTGTCATTTCCGGATGTTTAATTACTTGACGAAGTAACAAAATATGATGAACAAAATCATGATACGATATTGTAAATGTTGTGCCGTCTTGTTTTTGAATTTTTACATCGAAATTTGGAAACGATTTTGACAAAACATCACTCATTTCTTGTTGATTTTGTTGTAAAAATATTTTGACTGTGTCGCAAAGGTGATCTCGATGTTTTATATACACCACAAGCGACAACAGTTTATCATCTTTGTGTCATGATGTTTTACATAATGGTAAGAGCATTCTTATGCTTTCTTTGTTTTTTCTTTCTTCGAAAAAAACGAAACATGACTATTTTACAAAAGAAATAACATGTAAATATTGACCGTAGTTTAATAATGACTCTTAGTATATGTTGAAAATTTCTTTTCATTGTACCTGAATTCACATTCTTTTGATGACGTTTGATGTAGGAAAAATTCAACGCCCCCTCCCCAGACAAAGAAAAAGAATAATCAAATGTAAACGATATATCAAGCTTGATTCGAATTGATGCGTTATATTTCGTCGAAATGAGAACTATTACTAAAATATTATGTTGAATTGATTCTTTTTCTTGGAAATAAGCAATCAAAATTTTGCAGTAGTGTCAGCCATGTTAATTTATTAAAAGATGAATGTTTTAGAAAGAAAATGAATAATATCGATCGACTATGATGATCAATTTGTCAAAGAGTAGTCTTGACTCAGATTGAGATTGCGAATGTGTTCTAAATTTTCATTGGAGCAAATGAGCTTAAAACTATTCTATGAATCAACAGCAGGAATGAATGTATATAGTCGTTTCATGTTCTTTTCTTATCATCACACAAAATGCTGATATCATTTGTTAACTTATGAAAGTCATCATCAACAAACTGTTTTATTTTTGCATAACAATACCAGCGTCTCTATGCATATCAAGTTTCGTTTTAAAATGTATGTCGTGTGTATCCGTGATGTTCAGTTTGTCTAAAAAGAAAGGCCGCACTGCAAATTTTGAACATTTCGGATCCATCTCTTCTTTAATATTTGTACTAGTTAGAAAAATGCCGCGACTACTCATATATATAAACTTTTCAATATTTGGTGCTTTACTCTAGGTCTAGTTTCAGAAGACAAAAAAACAACTAAATGAAAATGTGGGTGATTCAATCGAAAAACAGACTCACCTGTATATCTAAGATGCAAATCCATCTGCTGATCTCAACTCTTGCTTGTTCAGCAATTGATTTCTGTTGAAATAATTCGTAAAATAAATCTTATAATTATCAAGACTATACATATAATTTTAAGCACTAGGATACGACAACTAAAAGAAGACCTCAACTTTAAATTTTAGAGACGTAAATACGAATGTTTCATTAACAAGCTTTTTTATTATAGTATCTACTTTATCACTCTATTGTTGTTTCATCTATTATTTGATACACTACCGTGTCTTTTTCTAAATATTCTTTGTTTCAAACGCGATTTTACCTTTCTCCACAGTGTTATAGACCTGAAGATTTTTTTTTTCTTTATAACTTAGAAGTGCAAGTACTCAGTACTTGAAAAAAATTTGTACTTTTCCAGCTCTGTTGAATAATTAATTAAATAAAATTTTTGTCAATATGGATTGTTGTAAGATAAGTTTTCATTAAACTTTTCAATTTAACTACATACTTCTATAAGAAAAATTTCTTTATCGATTAATAATCAAGAATGTGAGTCATGTTGAAAAGAATAAAAAAAAAAAGAGTATAAAAATACGATGCCTTCACGCAGGATCGAACTGCGGACCTCCAGTTTACTAGACTGGCGCTCTACCACTGAGCCATAAAGGCACATCCATTTTCGCGTTTTTTTTTGTTTTATTATGTAATCAACATCAAATCAAGTTTAGTCTTGAATACAATTTCACATTTCGATTTTGTTATCAGATTTTTTTTTCTATATTTTTTGACTCGTTTCGATCTGAACAAACAACTGAATAAACGAACACACAGATGATTTTATCGTTATAGAAACATTTTTTTTTGTTAATTTTTTTTTTTGGAAGTGAAGTCAATTTACGCAAGTTTCTATGCGTAGAATATGTTCTAATGTTACTTTCATTATACTATTATACTGAGTGATGCTTTTCATAATATTAGAATTCATAGAATTTACTAGCCTCTTAATATTTTAACATTTTCTTAGGTCTAACGACAAGTTCTGATAATGTCGCTTCCAGTTTTATAAAACAGTTCATATTGAAGAGTTTGCTACATGAATAAATAGTGAAAGGTCTTGTCTATAATTATATATATAAGAACTCTATTTTAAGTTTAGTTCGAATATTCTTTCAGATCAAATTTAATTCGAACTAAACAAAAATTGCAAAATGGATAATAACTTGGATTGGTGCTATATTAAAATTCAGACTATTATGGGAATTGATGCAAAGATAATTCAGGATTTGTTAATAAAGTCTGGAAAAAAAACAGAGACAATAGTTTCAAAAGTACAAAATTCTGTGACAGTCATCTTCAATTTCAAACTCATAGAACTTTATTACTTAGTTAGCAGAAGAAGGTATCAATATAATGTTGTATCAGTCATACTTGCCAGATCTGACATTAGGTAATCTTAGATTAACTAATTATTTCGAACAAAGTTTAACTGATTAGATAAATGAAACATGATTTACTTATGCAGTTCCTAAAGTACTTAAAAATATTTCTGAAAAAACATGCAAAAATAACCTTAACTAATTGTTAAAGGAAAATGGACTGTGTACAAATAAACAAGACAACGATCTGGTTTTAGTATCAAGAATCAATGGTGGTTTCACTATTTTTCATTACACAAAATTGAAATCAAGGGTGATGGTGTGGAAGTGGAACTACTTTTAGATCACAACTAAAACCTATATAGACACTTGCTCACACTCACACTCCAATTATGTGCACGAAGGAGTCGAAATTTATGGATGTTGGTGTCTCATTGCTGACCCACACCCTAATTATAAAGTCATAGATAATTATTCTAGTTACTAGCTAATCGAGATAGATTAAATAGCTACTACGACTTGTTTCTTTGATAACTTGACGAGAAAATATTTTTGTTTCTACAACAGTTATCTTGGCTTACATAAAATTTAGTGTAAGTTCTGAAGCAAGAATATTAAAAGCGATTAAAAGATGCTTGTGTCAGCTCGACAGCTTCCGTTCGTGACTTTTCTCTCGCAGTTCGCTGTCGATAACAGTTGTATAGATGTCTGAAAAGCGGAAGAACTATAAGTTTAAATATGAGAAAAATTAGACCAAAGATCTCAATACATGTAATAGTGAATAGAAAGTCGGTGAAGATAAGCTCGGCTTCGTCGACAATTGGTCTTTGTGTGTTTAATACATAAAATGGCGCCTCATATATAACAAGAGAAATAATTGTATTCGAACTCGTTGCATATATGTATTCGTTTTCGTCAGCAAATATTTGATTGACGTCTGCAGAGACATAGGGTAACCAGAAAGCTCTCAATTGTTTCTGACCGTGTTCATTCAGTGAATAAGTTCGATTAATAACTTTAGTAAGCTCCATAGTTAACGATGGTTGTTGTGTAAGTACATGATTAGCGAATGAAAAACACTGAGCGAAGTCAAAATCGACAAGTATGTAACTAGCTTCGAGACTCTCATCCTCTTGTTCTCTACCTGGTCCTTGAAGGGCTAGACGAATACCACCGATAGTATTGATACCAACGAGCAGAAATTGTAAATGTATGCCATGTGAAGGTAATAAAAC